TAATTTTGTTAAATGAATGCACATGCTACAAATTCCATGCCAAATGATTTAATCCCAGAAGGACTACAGTTATAGTCTGTAAGGTATTTTCTTCACGTTCATTTTCCCTATTCCGGCTTGCGTTGCAATCATGGTTGAGTTATCACATTTCTTAATTTTTGAGTCTTTTTAAAGGTAAAACAAACTGGCAATATGTCAGTAAAATATTGAGAACTGTAGTTTGGAATGTCTTATAGTACTTTCGAAGCTCCAGTGTTGTTCCTAACTTCCAGACACTTGCTGAAAGATATTTATCAGTACTGGCCGAAATAATCGGTCATTTAACTGTGGACGCAAACGCGTTCTGTAAGGCATGTTTCATTTATCATAATTAATTGATTATTTGTTTTCATATAATATTTACTGACTAAGACATCAACTTAGGCATCAGCTACTTGATTATCTCAGTTTTTTTAATTATATCTTGTGTTCTTATTTTTGTGTTAGAACAGCACTAATTACTTGTTTTACTTATCTCGGTTCTAGAACAGCACTAATTAGTACTAATTAGCGCCGTTGCCATACTTTAACCCAATTGCTGTAACTTAATTCTCTTTTACTTCCTAATTAAATATGTTTGTGTAATAGCATTATGTTTTTTAACGTCTCAGCTCCATTTTGTTTGTGTGTCCAAACCTATTAATTACCTTGTTTAATAATTCTTTTCTATTTTGGTATTTAATTTCTCACTGTAATTTTCCAAAAATCGTGCAATCTCAGGAATTTATTTGTAGCTGCTGGACTGTAACTAGAAATTACAAAAGAATCTAGAACAAATGAAATCTCAAGAGGTAGTTACGTAACGAATTACAAAGGTGCATGCTTTTATAGAGAATTTCGGTGAGTATATTGAGAAAATCAAAACCAAAATCTCAACATAGCAGACACAGCAACACTACAGTATTACTTGGCGGCTATTTCCAGAAATAGGTTCTATTTCTGGAAAAAGAAGCTACTATTGCAAGAGAAGGAGGCATTGCGGAATAATAGAGCAGAACGTTTATTCCACAAAGATGATTTACTGTGCCCTTCTTGCTCACCAGTGGAGATTCAGAATACTCTAAAAAGGTTGCAGAGCAAAACCGTCCTTCAGCAGTGAATTTACCGGTAGAAGAAAAGTCATATTTCACACTAGTGCAACCGTAATTCCACAGGAGTCCCTCCCCGCCCCAATCAAAAAAAGAAAATTTTGGATCACGTTCTGCTTTTAAAAATGAAGAACGAAAATAGAGCTAAAAATTAGAGCAAATATGTACGCAATTAGCAACAACTCATGTCCGGAGTAGCTGGGCATAATTCTGACCATATTCGATCCACACGCTCATAGGAACGTCAGGCATCGAGAGCGAAAATATCGGTTGTGCCTTAAGTAAGCCTTCGAGGAAAGCCGCTGTCTAACGAATTCGCTTTTTATCCGTGAGTTTACGCCAAGACGATTAGAAACGTAAACATCCCCTCAGACCTTCAAGCAGAGAGCATCAAATCAGCTACCGAAGCTGTAAGTCCAGCAACAGCAGCAGGAAAAATATTCTTACACATAAGCACTTCCAAAACAGAATAAAAGTAACAATTGGCTAGTGGGTATTGCACCTGAGACATTGGAAGACATACTTTCTGAAGAAAGAAATTTCTTTGGGTTCAGTTCCTGCCCTCTTAGGAAATATTATAGAATCATCCGTTGTCACAACCGCCAAGAGACTGAACACTTCAGAAACAACAGAAAAAATGCTCAAGTCTGTGAAAGTTGTGAAGGCAGCCATTCGCTGAGTAATGCACTGCTGGGTGAACATTGCCACAACTGCGAAAAGGGCCAACTTGACGAAAGGCACACCCTATCTGACTTCACATAAAAGCCAGCTCAGGGGTCTGCAAAATATAAAAGGCAGCAGTCAGATAAATGACAAAAACCACGAACTAAACGTTCTCCGCCAGTGCCCATATCTACTCTTCTATCAGTGCAACCTACATCACTCAAGATCGGCTACAAGCAATATGATGCAGAAGATGCGGGAACATGGAGCAGGCTTTGTGCTGTTGCAAAATCCTTATACTGAGCATGGTAATTTGCTTGATGTTTCTTCTTCGTGCCAAACTAACTGCTCACAAAACTCATTAGCAGCCGTTATTTTCAATGCTCATCTCATTCCTTTTTTCCACAGTTTCACAGAACATACCGTGAAAGTACTACTGGTCGCTCACAATACCAAAATCATGATCACTGCGTTTACTTTCCTCCCAGTGAAAACGTCGATGCACTCCTGAGTGAGCTGGACTAAGAACACCTCTTCACATCCACGTTCAACATCGTGCCAGGGGACTTTAACGCGTACAGAGAATCAGCGTGCTATATTGATACAAGTATATATGGCATTAAACAGACTAGTGATTGTCAATACTCAAGATACCAACTTTCTGGACCACACATGACCGAGGTTAGCCAGACCTGACATTGGCTAATCCATACACAAGTTGCTAGATTCAGCACTGGACTGTTACTGATACGATCACCCTCAGTGACCACAGACTCATAAAGTTTAGATTAGGCACCTCATCTGAGTACTTCATAAAGCGCAGATAACAAGACTACATATGGAGAACTCTCCAAGCTAATCTAATAACTTAGTCCTCAAGTTCGTCATCTTGAAGGTATGCTTCAGAACGCGACCACCTTTCCAGAAAGACGTCACTGAAAATGATGATTATGTATAAGATCATAATTAAAAAAAACGGACTGAACAATACTAATAGTCAAGTTCTGTGTGGCGATCATCCCCGACCAAAATATTTTGATACCATATGTAGACTTTTAAGGAAGCGCTCATTTCTTTTGCTAGTTCGGCAGTGATTTCACACTAGTTTAATCTTTCAGAAACAAATATTTTTTTCTATATATTCCAAAATCATTATAGCTAACTGTTTCTGTTTATTTATTTATTTTTTATATAATTAATAATCCTTGTTTCACCTTCTTCTTTTCTAGTAATTTTATTAGGTTTCATTAATTCATTAGTAAATACTTTATTAAAAGAAATAATTTATTTTTAATGATGAGTTTATGTTTGATCTTAGCACATGCAATAGTTCGTTGTAAGATCAATAATCGTTGTAAGATGTAATCAATTAGCTCATGAAAAAGGAAATTAATTTATAACGAAACATAATTTTAAAATATCAAAAACACATCTCACTGGTCAGAGGTTATACGACTAGCGCAGTTAAGACCTAGTTCATTTTTATCCACATTATCAACTAATTTTGAAAAAAAATATTGTCTCGTTAATCTGTAAAGCTTCTTCTAACGCGAAAAGAAAAAACGATAAAAACGAAGCGAAATGATCCTTATTTTCAGCAAATCAAGGAAAAGAATGCAACGCACTGCAGAGCTGTTTCGTCTGCTTTCAATTCCCTCTGTAAATTTCAGTGTTATTATATGTTGTTGAGCTAATTGTCTCCGTCTCTAAGTTGAAGATAATCCGTGAAAACTTCAGAAAAATTTCTTTCCTCGTTAAGTTGGAAAGAATATCGGAAAATAAATAAAAATGGCAAAAATGCAGCAAGGAAAAGAGCAAGTGCATAAATTGTACAAACTAGTCCTTCCTAAAAAATGCTGAAGAGGAATTATTTTACTAAAGATAACGATGCATAGTGTATAATCACAAAGCTCAAGAATGAAAAAAATGAGATGAATGAATCAAAACGTAAATATATCATTTGAAATATTTTTTTTTTTTTTACATTGACAACGAGGAGTTTCACCAGTCATTTGTAGAAGACAAGCTTCTGTACATTATCATGCAGTTTACTTCAACTTTAGAATGGATCAGATGGTAGATTCTACTTGCATTTTATATGTAAATGATAGGCATAATAATTTATATGGAATCATGTAATCTAATTGCATTTTATATGCAATTATATCATGCTTTCTAGATTCGTATTTTAGAGTACTGTCAAGGTGCAATAAATGACTGGTTTGTTAAATTATTTTTATATTTCCATTCCAGTTGCTTTTTGCACTCATAAGTTCGGCAATGAAATTAAATCTCCTGGGGAATTTTAAATGGATTTTTCTTTTGAAAATTTTGTATAAGTAAATACAGGGAGGAAATCTTAGTTTCCAAAGAAAACATTTCGGAGAAGGGTTATTTTCTGATAAAAACTATTCAGCTGAATGTTGTGTTTTGGAAGATATGAAATACCTGAAAAATTAAATTTTCGTCCAAGTATAAAACTGAAATTTAGCGAAATAGAGCGAGATATTTCCCGCAGTTAAAATAATTATGCTTCTTTCAAATTTGTAACAATAGTAGCAGGACTCCACTTACTGGGCGCAAATGCCGCAATATAGTTATATTTTGATAATAGGTACAGCCAATCCTGCACCACAATGTTTTCTAAACACAAGGAATGTTTCTCAGGGCACATAAAAAAAACACTGGTATTTTAACATCATACGATAGATTTATTTTTCGAGAAGAAAATTTTCTCAAAATACAGTCATAATTCGGGAACATGATTTTGTTTGGATGGTTTCATTGTTTATGTGGAAAGCTGAAAAACTCAACTATAACAGTATTACCTATTTAATTTAGTAAAATAATGTTGCAAGTAATCTCATTCAAACTCGTTGAAACTCTTGTCTCGCGTCCGCTTCTGAAATATCTGGTCATTTTAGTTTTGGGTAAAGTATAATTCAAAACTCACCAACTCTTGTCCGAATGCTTATCTTCGAAGACAAAAATTTAATTAATGACAGAGTTCATCTGAATGTATAAAAAGAGCAATATTAATTTTTTTTAATTTGTTTAGTATTCTGGGAGGGTTTCTTTTGTTAATATTTTTTGTATCCACATGCATAATTTTTCTTTATTTCATGCCCCGCTTGCTCATTGCTATCATTTTTCACTCGCCCAAAGAAATTTCTCGGCATATGTATTAATGCTTTTACTCTTTTATTTCAGATAATGCCTTTGGTCGTTGCCAGATGCCTTATGGTTTGGACACAGACATCTATCGCCATCTTTTGGGCTCTGAAACAACTAAACTTTTGGAAAGAGAACTAACACGACTCTTCGCAGGAGGTTATCGCTGGCAACATGACTACACACAGTGCGTTGTCCAGAATATTTTGTATTCCAGTCGTCACAGAATATCTTACGATCCTGGTTTGTGTTCTCGAGTCTTACAATTCACGACACCCGATGTGGTAAGAATAGAAATTTTGACTTATGAAGAGATTATATAATATGATTTTTTAGAATTATTATTCAATCTATTTTAAAAGTAATATATTTATTATGTATGTATATATAATCAATATTATTTAGTAAATAAATTATTACATATATATATATATATAATTAAAATTCTTATTTGAATGCTATGTGCTATGATTTATTTAACTTTACAAAATTATTTACGAGAAATATTTTCCGTACAAAATTCAGGCTACGGCAGAATGATTGACTCCATTACATTTTGTCACCTTGTGACTGTTTTGGAGATGAAGCTTGAGAAGTATTTATATTTGAATAGTGTAAACAATGTCCCTTCAGGTTGTAATCATGATTGAACTGGTAAGATTATAGTTATTTGAGGAAGAAGGATGCCCAGTCAATGTGACTTGTCAAATGTATGTAAACAGGTTTTGTTATTTTATGCAGTCTGAGATCAATGGGAAATGCACACTTCAATTTCCAGTAAGTTTCAACATACGACAAATGAATCTAGGGTAATTCTGCAAGGAATCTTTCTAAAAGACCTCATTTCAGAATTTGGTGACATTGAATGTTTCTCAACAGATCGATGTGATTATTTTTTGAGGGATACTAAAATGCTGAAACCTTTAACATGGGCCGCTCACAGTACAGAAACTAAAAGATAACTAAAAGATGCTATTTATACTTAGATCACAGCAGTACTAGCCTCATTGATGTTCTTCTTAACGAGACTTTTAGGAGGCAACATTCATGAGGCAAGCAGCTAGAAGATATCATCTTTGAAACACAGCGATAAGGAAACGTCATTCTGCATTCGGTATGATAAAATTTGGAATAAGATCTATGACGCTCTTTTCATTCCTTTTTTTAAAGACACAATTTCATTTTCACGAAGCAAAATATTAAGTCAGCAATTGAGGGGAGCGAATACATCGAAATGAAAGATTTCTTAAAGCAATTAATTTTACTGAAAAATAAAAAACTCAAAATACATTCTGATATAACAAAAACGAAATACACATTTACACTGATATAATACACTTATACATAGTACTGTATCAGTACTGCACAATGTATTTAATAATTAACTTATCAGTACTAAATTAAAAGCAAGTTTTATAATTATTAGTGACTTTCTTGGGACTGTCTTGACCATAGGATTTTGAAGGAGTGTCTAAATACTAGAAATAGAAACTCTGAGTTATTTTTACTATATTTCGCTTAGATCTATAGTTTGTCTTCAAAGCAACTACCTCAGAAAGTCTGGTTTTTCAAAGATAAGATGTTGGAAAAAGGTAAAAGCAAATGAAATACTCTTATTGCCAGTGCAAAACCCTGGTGAAGGTTAAAAGAGTGATTCATTGCTAAATGCGCCTTTGATTTAGTCATTTGCTGGGAAGTATATGAAGATTTCTTCTTCGGCATTTGAGAGGCTTTCGAAAGTATTTTCAAATGGATATCTAACTCACTCATACTTACAATCAAGTTGTCGTCAGCAAGAAAGTACTTTATAAAATTCTTTGCAAACATGGCTAAGTGATTTTCAGTGGTTACAAAAACAACTTTCTCATACTGTTCTTCAGCCTTGTAAGTTTTAACACATTCATTCACATTTGAAAATATTACTAGTTTTTCTTTCGTTTTAAGTTTATACTCCTCAATTCCAGTTTCTATAAAAACATCAACTTTATCACCCATATCCAGCATATATGTTTAATTCTTTGAGGTGAAGATTCAATATATTTCATTTCTCGAGTGCGTCGATCAAGTAGATCAATTTCATCACAAATAAACCATCTCGAAACTTCCGGTCAGTTTTCCTGTTCTACGAAAAAAAAATGATTTCATCTTTTATTTCATAAATACGTTGCAAAACTTCTCAGCATTTTGCCTCACAATAAAATTGTAACGCTGAATGTCCTGCAGCCATGTCTATTATAAAGTGCAGTAAAGATTCTTGATTTTAGGGGGTTTCATTTTAATAAAGTTTAGTACATTTACTACCGTCATTAGCACAATATTCAGACAGAACGCATTTCTTTCGAAGCTAGAGCTTCTCATGCAATGTGTCCAGACACACAGTGGAGATTTTTGTTTCACAAGCGCTTGTATATTTTGGAATTTTTCAGATATTGAAAGAGCACTATCGGTGCATCTTCTGAGAGAATTGTTTGCACTATATGTTTTACCCCGTTTATAAAATCATTTGAGATACAAAAAATGCTAGTGCTGTTGCTGTGAGTTCAATTGGTTTGAAGTAAAGCAGTTGTGCTACCGCTGACATACAGGTCATAAAATAAAACATAGGCAATGAAATAAGCAATATTGTTGTCCGTTGCCACATCAAGCTGAATTAAAAACAACATATCACGCAACTTCCCGAAAAGCTGATTCTGTATATCTTCAGGTATATCGTCATTTGATGGACAAAAGTATTATGATAGCTGTATAGACTGCAGTTATTTGGCAAAATTATCTCCAAGTATTGTTTCTACAATCTCAGTTGCAGCTCGCAAAATAAGCTTTTCACCAATCGTGTGAGGTTTTTCTTAACGTCTGGCTATTTTATGTGAAATTTGTAAGGCACAAACAAAGCTTTATCATTCACATAAGTTTATTTAAAAACTTTTTTTTCTTAACATACGATTTTAATTTCAATTCCAAGATTCTCGGAGTTTGTTAATGCGCTTACTATGAAGCCTTTCCATTAATTAGGATAATTAGGTTTCACGCTGTCTGCTGCCACAGGTTTTTAGCAAATGACACACAGGCGTCTTCATTTATTTCAGTACTAGTAAACTCAAAATTTAAGTTATTCTCAAGAATGTTACCTTGATTTTATTTTCGGAACGACGCTTGTGTATGCTCTTGTTGATGTTTCACAGTCGTCTAATGCTCACTTAAGCCCACTTAAAAACTTACCCTTGATTCTGTATAAAGGCAGTTCACTTCAAAGCCGGAAAATAGGAATGTACTTCCGGTCCCTTTCAGCTGGTATTGCAATAGAACTACTACTCATTTTAAGTCGTGTTTTTATATATTTTTTTTTCAAGTAAGAGAAATTTCGTTTATTTGTTTTTGTTTATTTTCACGTGAGAGACTAAAGAAACATACGAAACTTTTTTTCTTGACAGAAAAACGAGTAGGCGGATATCTTAATAGGGTTTTGGCAGCTGGTGAAAGAAAATTTTTCTAAGTGCAGTTTCCGATGGAAAAAATTTATATTTAGGGGGGGGGAAGAAACAAATCTTTGAGTTTCATAGGACGCTGAAGCAGCTAACAGGTATATTACTACATATGAAATTACGATAGACTCGATAGCGACAGAATAATAGACTCGATTGAGATTAGCTGGCATTCAACGAAGTGCAGCATTTGTACACGTTTGTGTTGTGATAGCACAAACTTTCCAGAATGTTGAAGCAAACTACAAACTCTCGTGAAGCGGGGAGAAAGTCCGGTATGGTGGAAAACAAATGCTTTCAAATTATTTTCTAAAATATTCAGATACATATGAGATCTTTGATTGCTTCTGCGGGGTGAATCTGAACAAGTGGGCAACACTTTAGGGGGTAACAGAAGGCTATACGAGCAATATTCGAAATAGAATGTATGGTCGGAACACAAGCGGGGAGAAGTTAAAGGGTAGATTTCCACTGTCACATTTAAAGAGTTAATACAAGAATGAGAGGACATACTTCAGAAAACATTTTATTAACAAGAATGTGATTGATGTATACTGCGGGGGGGGGAAGGCATAGTTCTATATCTTCCTTTCTACTGGGCCGATTGACAAAATTCAAACTGCGTTTTTCAAATCTCGAAAGCGCGACTTAGGATATATATTAGATTTATACATTAGCATTGTTTTAATATAGGTATTTTGACATTTTTTGGCGCAGTGTATGTGAACAAAGAAATTGCGCAAAAGACCTTCCGCCAGCTGTAATGTAGGCTTCCTGATAGGGTCTGATTCACATTTGCGAAGACACCAGACATTTCTCGAGTATCGCCAGCAGCAACGGTGATCCTGGGGATTACATCCATATTAGTTTCAAAGGAGCACTCGTAGATTTGGCTTTTCACATGGCTACAGAGAGAAAAGTCCAAAAATTAGATATCTGGTGATCTTGGTGGCTAAGCTATGGGACCATTTCGACCAGTCCATCGCCTTCGAAATTCCATGGTTCGTACAACCAGCCATTCTCTTGGCAATCCCCAGTAGCAAATCCCTTTTGGGTGCGAGGACCGACCCTTTTAATACCATTTACAATGCCACTTGGTGGCTAGCCGTTTGCGTTCCAACCATACATTCTATGACGAATATTTTTCGTACAGCTTCGTTCTATCATTCCTTAAGGGTTTGCCCATTTTTTTTCAGATTCAACCAGTATGAGGATTAGTTTATCTAATCCTGTCACCAACACATGTGATCCCATGTAAATACTACATTTTTATTGTCTTGTGTTACATTATCAGTACCATGTTTTTTGAAATTTAGCTTTTCATTCTTTGGAGCAATAAAGTAGTCAACTGAACTGAAATTACTAAAGTCGCTCTCACCTACATATAGGATTATTCTCTTCAAGAAATAAAAATCTGTTTGTCCTTGATTTTGCGAATAAGAGCAAACGTTGCCTCTTGCAGACCAAACATTATATTCGGCTGATACAATCAGCTTTTCTGTGGTCCGAGAAAATCCTAGCGCATTAAGTATTTCATTTAATCCAGAAAATTTAGTAACTGTTAACTGTGAAGTTCTTGAAACTGTTCTAAGTAGGAGCCTCTGTTTTCAACGTGTAAACTTCTGCAGCCGATAACTTCTATTCTTGTTTCTTTCCAAACTTAGACGATAGGCGGGTTCCTTTCAAAGGGAGGAAATGCTCGCTCGAAAGATTAACATTGATATTAAAGCTGTTCAGTTTAATTTTATTTACTGACACTCTTACATGCAAACGTTTTAAAATAGACATGTGATCTTGTCAAC